TTTTTTTTTTTGTGTCTGTGAACGCTCAATCTCAGCTCTCGCTGGACCGATTTTGATGAACAATATGTCAAAAGATCACAAATCGTATCTAGTCGAAGACATTACCCTCAAAAATTGAAAAAAATTCCCTCGTTCCCCGTAAACGGGGGAAATCTCCAAAAAAATTACAAATTTAAAAATCGCTAATTTTCGAAATTTTTTCAATTTTTTTTACTTAAAATTGCCATAACTTTTTTAAAAATGACCGAATCAATATAATTTTTTTTTTTATAGANAAAATTTTTCAAAAATGAACATATCAATTAAATTTTTTTTTTTATAGATGCTTGATGTCTTTACCTATTATTTGGTATATATTTTTTGTAAATTTGACCTTTTTTCTGCCCACAGGGGGGGATTTAAAATGACAATTTTTTCACAAAAAATTAACTTTTGAAAATGTTCCGGAAGGTCTGACACTTTTATATATATCTTAAATTGAAGCTTATGTAATATACTTTAATTTGAAAAAAAAAAATTTGACCTCTGGACTTGTCTTCATGGTGAAAGTTGACATCAAAGTTGATAAAAAATTACGATTTTCGTAAAATAATTTTTTTTTAACTTAATAATGCTCTAACTTTTTCAAAAATGAACATATTAATATAAATTTTTTTTATATAGATGCTTCATATCTTTACTTATCATTTGGTATATTTTTTTTGTAAATTTGACACTTAACCTGCCCCCCCTGTGGGCAGGTTAAGTCATTTAAAATGACAACTTTTAAAATTAAACACTATCTAAAGATTTGCATCGAAGCGTTTATTTTTGATAGTGATTTTAATCACTGTCAGATATCATTATACTTGATCCAACTATACCACGTCACAACTGTGCCGCGACCCCCTTGTGCTGGGTTTTTTTTTTTTTATATGTAAATACTATTTTTTCATAATATTAAAACTTAGAAGTGATAGAATAAGTCTAATTGCACATTTAAAAAAAATCGCGAAAAGTTTATTTAGAATAGTATATTTTTGTTTCTGATGAAAGTTCCTTGTAGTCCAGTGTATAAAACTTATAACTTTGTTAACTGTTATAACTTTATTAAAAATGACCAAATAAGTATACTTTTTTTTTATTTAGATGCATGTCTTTTCTATCATTTGGTTTTTTTTTTTTATAAATCTAACCCTTTACCTGCCCACAAGATGGATTCAAAATAATAACTTTTTTTTTTTTAGTTAAAGTAAATCATTAAAATTAATTCAGTTCTGGATATTTCAATTGTAGAATCTTTTTAAATACTAAAAATTACTTAGAAATGATTACTATGATTTCTATTTAGGTGTTCTATTACGATAAAAATACAAAAAAATAATGAGTTTTTCTGATAAATATACTGTAAATAGTAATTATAAAATTTCCTGACTGCATATTAGTCTTAAAAATAGCATAGTTTTAATTCTCATAAAATTTTCTATTTAATGATTCATTCTAGTCAACGAAGGAGTAATTTTGGAGAATAGCAGAAAAAATTCTCAACCAATTTTTTTTTTTTTTTTAATGGGAATTGGTGGATTATTCCAAAAGCAATATCAACTCTTATATCTTTAATTATATCCTGATTAGTAGTTCTTTGATTTAAAAATATAATATATGAATATATACTAATTATAATTATTAAATTTAGTATGAAATTGATATTCAATAATTTAATATTGTAAGTTAAACGGAGAAATTATAAAAATAATAAAGAAGTTGTATTTTGCTTTATTTTTACGTGTATAAAAATTTAAAGGGCTTGATACAATAATTATCAATAAAAACTGTTTGTTACTATAAATGAATGCACTGGACTTCAAGGAACTTTCATCAGAAACAAAAATATACTTTTCTAAATCAAAGTTTCGCGTTGTTTTCAAATCTGCAATTAGACTTTATCTATCAGTTCTAATTTTTTATATTATTACTAATTACATATAAAAAAAAATTAAAAGAAAAAAAAAATTGTTTTCAAATTATTACTGATTTGATTTTTAATATGTTAAAAATAATCAGTCCAAATTTTCATTTTTAACCTATTTTTTTGGTTCTTTAAAATTGATGAAAAATTTTTGATAAAGATTTATGAAAGTTTGTAGCAAAAAAAAATTGAATATATTAGCATAACTTTTAGCTCAATTACAAGTTTAAAATTGACATCTAGGCCAGTCAACAAAGGAAAAATTTCTTAAAAAATTCCCAACCAAATTATGTTTTATTAATAGTTGAATTAAAATATGTATAATGACATACTAATAGTCCTCATTGATTGAAATTGAGCTTTTTTTTTACAGCCTCGCAAAAGTTCAAAAATATGAGCTTTTTTAATTTTCTCAAAAAATATTTAACTTACAAAAAAAAGTTTCGTACAAAAGTTGTTTAAAAAACAATTATAAACAAAAAAATTATCATATATTTTTTCATTTAAACAAATATTTTTCGAGTTACATTACATTTAATATGAGTACTAAAATTTATATTCCATTTTTTTCATTTTACGGTTACTTTTTATCATGTTATACTTACGTTAGACACAATGTTATAAATGCATATGTGTGTATGTGTGAGTTTATTTATTTATTGTATCATTAAAGTGTAGTGTATATTAATATACAAGCGATAGAGTAGGTAATTGATTTGACGCTATATTTTTTAAATCCAACTAAACGCTAAATTGTACATTCCCAAACAACAATCATATTATGTCAATTGCCACAGGAATTTTCTTTTTCCTTGCCTTAATCCCAACTACTTGAGATCGGCCACTCTTATCCTACACTTCCACTTGACACGATCTCCCACATCTTCTACGCTCACATCAGCTGTCCTCAAATCGCATTCAATAGCATCCCTCCATCTCTTTTTTGGTCTTCCTCTATCTCTTCTTCCTTCAACATTCATTTCTATAACTGTTCTTACAGCTTTCGATTCTTCTTTCCTCATACCATGACTAAACAATCTAAGTCTATTTTCTGTCATCTTATCCACGATTGACGCAACACCTATACTTCCTCTTATATGCTCGTTCCTTATCCTATCTTCTCTAGTCACTCCACTCATCCAACTAAGCATTCTCATCTCTGCTACACTTATTCTCTGCTCTACTTTCTTATCAACCACCCAACACTATGAACCATACATCATAGCTGGCCTCACAATTTCATACTGAATTTAAAAACTATAATTAGTATTTATTCATATATTATATTTTAAAATCAAAGAACTGCTAATCAGGATATAATTAAAGAAATAAGAGTTGATGTTCCTTTTGGAATAATCCACCAATTTCTCTAAATGAAACACTATCTACAGATTTGCATCGAAGCGTTTCTTATGATAGTGATATGATAATGTTATGCATTTGGTAATCAGTGTTTGAATTGTAATAAATTATATAATTGTTTTAATTGTTTTCAAAATAAAAAAAAAATAGTAGTATTAGTAGAAATCAAATGTTTCAAGAAATAGTGGAAATAACTAGTTTGAAAAAATTTAATTTCAAAATTGAGAATTTTAAAGTTTAAATAGTGGAATTTTGAGGTTATAGAATAAAGCCCAATGGTAAAATTAATAATTAATTACCTAATAAAAAAATTTGAAACTTTAAATTCAAATGCCATTTACTATTGAATTAAAAACTCATTTTAAAAAACATTTTATTAAATTAAAAATATGTGTTACCATTTAAAAAAACAAAGTTGACACCCTTACCAGGCATAAGGGATGAACTTAAAAAGTATTACATAGTTAATAATTCAAGAATAACGTATAACTAAAGATAATAATAAAAAAAAATTTTTAAATTATTATTATTCTGTAAGTAATTGAGTGGGTTATGATAAAAAAATCAATCTGTATATTATTGCATATGTAATAGATTGCGATTCAATATAATTAATATATCTGTTATAATTATTCAATTCATTATTTTAGTTGCAAAACAAAAAATTAATTAATTAAATTATTATTTATTTATTATAAACTATACAGGCAATAGACCAAAAAATACAATATGATAATATTGTAAAATATTTTAGTAAATAATCGTTAATATATCATTAACTATTATTTATGATGACACAATATTCTACTACTACTAGAATAAACCCATTTCCTCTATTATGTTTTAGAATCAACATTTTTTAAAAAGCTATTCTTTATTTAGACTTACTAATAAATTTAATCTTTTAGATAACACTATCGAGGCTTAAAAAGAGGATTTAATGAAGAGAAAACTGTGATATTTTAACTACTTTGTGCGTTCCATACATCAATATAATGCCAAGTTATCCACAGTGGTATTCGATTAGTTTATTTTTTAGTTAATAAACCATTATATATCTTAAATGAAATAATTTAGTTTTTGTGGTGTTCTTTTATTTTATATCATATTACCATGGTGTAAAATAATCAAATGCAACAACACTCTTAATTTAAGTAAAAGCTCAAAAGTATATTTTTTACGTTTAAAAACATATTTTACTTATAATTTCTTTAATTGAAATTGCACAGCATTAACTCTTTAATTCACTAAATAAAATACATTCTCGATTTCGTAAAAACTGCAATAATTTAATAAATATAGTAGAAACAATGTTTTCCTTTCATTATTATAATAATACTTTTAGCCCAAGTAAACTTTAAATACAAAGTTTTTCCATTAATCTATAGTACCTCTATTAATTTGTATTTTTCATGATCTCAAAACTAATTATTAAAGTAAAACAATCTGGTAAATAGAAAATCATTTTAATTATATAAATTTATCTTCAACAAACAAAGTAGCTAATATTATTTTTTAATTATATAATGAAAACAGTAAATAATTTCTTTAAACACAAGTTAAGTTAATTAATTGAATACTGGACAAAAAAAATATAAAGTATAAAGAAATATCAATAATTTTAACGATCACGTAATATGTCCATAATTGTTTTTGAAGATATTAAAAAGTTACGGTCGCCAAGTCTTAAATTTATTTTACATTTATATTCATTATTCTGTAGTTTACGCAGATTTTTTTGATGTGCGTTAAATAACTTGAAATCTAAATAAAAAAAATTGTTAAGTTTTCATCAAATAAACTAATTATTTCATAAGTACCTAATATGATGCATTTAACTGCCAATGGTGCGTGTTTCATATAAAAAATGTCTAATCTTCGCAGTTCAGAAGATGTTACAGACACCGACTCTCCCCAATCAATTAAATTAATAATATAAAAATTACTTCCCTCCACACTATTTTCAATATCAATACAAATTCCTCTATACCAACTACCATCACCTAAATGAAAATTCATATATTAATAAGAAAATAATGGAAATTCATTATTTTTTTTTTTGGTAAATAATATTCTTTTATTAAAGACGCTATTTGATTATTATGAGTTATGATGCACTCATATGAAAGAAAAAAGATACTAATAAATTATTTGAGTTGATTAATTAACTATCTATCATACATACGTATGAAGTTTACTTATCTTCATATTATTTTAATAATTAAAATTATTCATTACTATATTTAACAGCACAGAGTTCATCACGTTGCGGTTTATAATTGTGATCTTGTGTTTGTTTGTAATGTGAATTCATACTGCTTTCCATAAATCTTATGTTTTGTTCATTTTTTACTTTTGTCATGCAAATATAATCTGTTTGACAATACAACACTCTCATGTTATATACATAATTATTCCTTAATTGAATTTGAGGAATATTAAACAGGGTATAGATTTTTAGTCCATTGTCGACCTGAGTTCTGTTCTGCTTGTTCTCTACACCGTCATTCTATTAAATTGTTATTATTATTTATTAATTATTATGGCTTTATTTATCTAAGTCCTCTCTGAAAAAACTATGCTTGATAGTAAAAGTCAAACATAAATAACTAAAGTGTTCAGTATTAGATAAATAGAAAAAACTTGATTATATGATTTCTAATTACCGAATATGTTTTATTAACGCCCACTTCAGCATTTGACAAATCATTCGACACATCTTCTAAAATATAAATTTAAAAAAATATTTTACTTATAAAAATTTCTAATACTTTTTTTTTAAATTTAATATTAAAGTCTATTGTTTTTTTTTTTTTTATTCTCAATTATTGTTGCTAATATCCAATTTAAATTTTACAAATGTAATTTTTAAATTCATTTTAACTAATTATTTTAAACTATATAATAAAAATATTTATAAAGAACAAAGTCCTAGAAATTAAGCACGTATATTTAAATTTCTTCATGACTAAACATATAATGACTTTAAAGTAGTCAAAATTAAAGTAAAGTTAACGATTTTTTTTACAGTTAATATTACACAAATTAAAAACAACATAAAATTATGTATAAAAATTTAAAACAGAAATTCCTATTTTAAAAATTATGATTTATAGCAAGCTATATGAAAAAATAAATAATTGTGGTCACAACAAAAAAAGAAAAATGAAAAAATTGTTTTCTTAACATAAATTTTTAAATTACTAATTAAAAAATTAAAAAATGTTCATTCAATTTTAAAGTAATCATACCTTTTATAGATGTTTCTAAGGGCAACGAAGTACATGACTGCAAATCATGCTCTCTAAATTCATTAACTAATGTGATATTTTTATTAGAATCTTGTTCAAATTTACCTTCAGTGGTTAAATTAAACATACCTTTTAAAAGAGGCTCATTTTTAGTAGATAAAAGGCAACACTGAGAAACAGTGTGCATATAATTTATTAATTTTGAATTTGAATTATGAGGCTCGTCCAAAGATTTTGTATTTAAAATAAGATTTTCTATTGAGACGTCAGTTTGTGTTTCACAACTTAACGAATTAAACAACGACATTTCTGTTTGTGTCTCAGACACATTATACATAAGTTTATTATTTGTCTGAGTGAGTTTGTCAGAGGTTAATAGAGACGTCTGAACTGCTATATCTTCTACTTCCTTAATCCGTGACTCTAAAATATTTATTTCTGAAACGGATTTTATCGGAGCGACAATTTCTTCTGCCATTGTATTAGTTTGTGATCCACAATCTACTGAGATGACTAAATAAAATAAAAATCAATGATAACTTAAATCAAATTTAGAATAACACGTAAGAATTAATCATAAATAGAGGAAATAAATTTAGCAAACATTCTAATGTGCATAGAATTACCTTTGGATTTTTTTCTTAAGCCAAATTTCTTCTTGGCAATTCTCATTATTCGTCCAAAAATTTTAGCCATTTTGTACTAAAAATTATTGATTATTATTTTATTTAATTTGTAAATGATTTTTGTGTGAAAATCTACATATTTATAAATATATACATAGTTGCTATGTAAAAGTTTTTTAAACCAACTACAAGAAATTTTGCTACTATTCTGCCAAATTATTATTATTAATTTGTTTTATATTAAATTTGTTGTAACTTCTTTAAAAATTTATATATTGATATAATTTTTAATTGGTAGTATTAAAAATATTATGGAATTCATCTTTGCTGATTGATAAATTATGTGATTACACCTTAAATGTAAGAGGGATTTGATTTTTTTCAGAGTTTTTTATTGATATATAAGTTTAGAATTTTTTTGTACAGACATAAAGAATACACATCATAGTAAAACCAATTATCTTCGTATTGAAGTTAAAAATTATCCTTATGACTTAATTTCTACGTAGAAAAAATGTATAAAAATTGTGGCAAACGTTAATTTTTATTTTAACTTTGATACAAAGCTGTTTTAATGTGTACAGTAGTATATAATGATAAAAATTACTACCAATTATTATATAAATAATAAATATTTCATTAAATTTTACTCAATAAGGTTTTATTTATTTTAATTAGCTAAGAAAATGATTAAGTTTATCGTAATTATAATTTTTTCTCATTATTATTATTTTTTAAATTGGACCATTTCCCTTTATACAAGGGAGTTTCAAAACTTAAAAATAAATATAGAAAGTAGAACTTTTTCCACATAATTTTTGAAAATATTCCGGAAATACTGACACTATTATATATATATTAAACTAAAGATTATGCAATATAATATAATATAAAAAAAACTATTTCGAACTTTAAGTTGTCTTCAACTTAAAGTCATTTTCAATTCAGGTGAAAATGACTACCGTATTAAAAAATATGCTATTTTTGTGTTAAAATTCTTGGTTTTGTATTTTATTTTATTTTAAAGTATCTTACAAAGGCAGTATATTAATTTTTTAACTTTAATGTGTGTGTTACTTTTAATTTATAATATTCCAATTTTTTTGATAAAATATTGCTATATAAATAAATAATAAAGCTAAAAAAATTTTTTTTTTATTTTCACCTGAATTTAACAAAATAATTTTACAATTATAATCAAATTTTATAATAATCTTAATTGAGTAGATTTGTATAACTACTTTTTTATTGGTTTTTTAGTTAAAATTAATTAATATAAATTTATTAAGTTCTGAATAACTAAACTGTAGAATCTTTTAAACACCAAAAGAAATGATTTCTATTTAAGTGATTTATAACAATAAAAATATTGAGTTTTTCTGACGAATTTGCATTAAATAGTAAATATGAAATTTCCTGACTGCATTTAATCTTATGAATACTGTTTTTTTAATTATCATAAAATGTTCTATTTATTTATTTATTTATTTATTGATGTCAATTTCAAACTCGCAAATTGAGCTAAATATCATGGTAACAAATTCAACTTATTTTTATTATAAACTTTCACAAAAATCAACTTAAAAGAACCAAAAAATAGGTTAAAAATTATATTTTGCATTGATTATTTTTAACGTCTTAAAAATCAAAATCTTTTTATTATTTAATTATTTTTTTTATCGTTATGAATTATTTTAAAAGAAATATTAATAATTTCTATGTAACTCTTAGTGTTTAACTAGATGATACAATTGAAATATACAGAATTATTTTTCTTATAGTCATATTCTATATATTTTTACTAATTAGTATAATATAATATAATTAGTAATAATATCAATACTTATTGGTGATAGAAAAAATATAATTGCTGATTTGAAATTGGTATGAAAAATTGAATAATAAAAATATATTTTTGACTAACAACAATTTTTTGCTAACTATTTATTTATAATTAACAACAAATTATTATCTGAAATGTGTTATGTCAAGCTCTTTAATTTTTATACACGTTTTCTATAATAGTAATAACTACTTTATAATTTTTTATAAATTCTCCGAAAAAATACAATACTAAATTATTAAATATCAAACTCATACTAATTTATCTGTTATAATAAATATATTTATATATTATACATTTATAATATATAAATATATTCATATATTATACTTCTAAATCAAAAAAACTACTAATCAGGAATAATAAAGGAAATTAGAAATAATTTTTCTTTTGGTTTAATTCACAAATTTCTTAAAATTAAACACTATCTACAGATTTGCATTGAAGCGTTTTTATGATAATGATTTTAATCACTGTCTGTACTTGTACCAACCTTGCCACGTTCACACTGTGCAACCGTTTTTATTATTATTCGACTTATTTAGTAATCTGGCAAACTTCGGAATCATTAAAAATGTTGGTTTGTACATGATATTTTTGGAGTAATAAACAAAAATTGGGTCCTAAATACATTTCATATACCAATTTTAAAAAGGTTTTCAATCATATTAGTGGATGAAGTATTTTGTAATTTGCTGTTCTGGACGTCTAAAAAATATCAAGAAAACGTGTTGCTACGTTTTTATATATTTTCACGTAAACACAAAATATTTGATAAACTTTCTAGTTTTAACCATCAATTTCATTGGTTCAAATAGTTTCACAAAGTGCTTCCATAGTTGAATTGCAATGTTATAAAAATGTCATCCCCGGCACTACTATTTTGTGTTAAACCCAACGCTCCGTCCTAAAACCCTGACGTGTTAATAAAACTTAAAGATGCGTTTATGTAGTAACTAGACTCTTGGTTTTTGAGATTACAACTCACAGGGGGTTTTGGTATATGATATTGAATATTGGTCGGTAAAAGTTTAATATCTTTCGTGAAATTGACATATTACGTAAAATATTTGTAATTGTCAAAATTATATGAATTATATTTAGTTCTAATACATTAATCTTTTAATTTTATGAATGATTTTTTAAGTTATATATATTGTCATCTATGAAAAAGATCTTGACTCAATTTTTATTATTTTGTTTGTTTCGCAAGTTTCCATTCTTTCATTATTAGCAAAAATAATTGAATTAAAAAGTTGCACTTCCTCTTTTTTAAGATGTGTTGATGTGTATAGTAAGTTGGTAAGATATGTATAGTAAGCATAGTAAGTTTAGAATAATTATCGTGTATTTCTATTTATTTTGTTTTGTCTAGTGTATTATGCGATAAGAAAATTATCCAATAAGGCTGAAAGATAAGTTCTATAAGACTGTAGTGAAACCAGCTATAATGTATAGTTCAGTGTTAAGCGGTTAGAGAATAGAGCAAAGAATGAGTGTAGCAGAGATGAGAATGCTTAGATGGATGAGTGGAGTGACTAGAGAAGATAGGATAAGCATATATGATGGAGTATAGGTCAATCGTGGATAAGATGAGAGAAAATAGACTTAGATGGTTTGGTCATGTTATGAGGAGAGAGGAACCAAAAGCTGTGAGAACAGTTATAGAAATGAATATTCAAAGAATAATAGGTAGATCAAATAAGAGAAATGTTAGTGAATGCAATATGATGTGGAAGTTTATAATAAGGGTAGCCGACTCCAATTAGTTAGGATTAAGGCGAGGAAAAAGAAAAAAAGAAAAATCAGAAGTAAAAATAGACAAATAATATTTGAGATCATTATTAAAAAATATACAATAACTAAATATGGATCATAGGTTGTTTATAAAAATAATGAATAGCAGAGGCGACAAGTGACTCCCTAGGAGCACTCCGAACCCTACAGTTATTATTTGCGATTTAATCTTCTATATTTGAATTTATTGTGTTCTACTAATGAGATAATACGACAACTAAGGGTTCATTGGATCCCAAAACCACAGAATTTTAACTTTTTCACCAAAATTGAGTGATTGACACTATCAAATGCTTCTCTAAGATCAGTATAGCATCCGCTGTCTATACTGACGCATCACCCTATTTATAGATTAAACTTTTTTTTATTTATTTACGGCCGACTAATTGTTGGCAATATAACTCACACTACCACGTTAGAATCAGCTTGAAATTAATCAATAGCTGATTCCCAACATATTGCCCCCTCCCCGTTTGCTGGATCCCAGAATGAGAATCGTTTGGCAGAGATGACAAAGATTAAACCAGATCAGCATAAAATTTTAAAAAATTAGTAACAATTGACTAGTATAATCGAAATCCATGTTTAATAAATTAGTTATTTTAAATAGGCTTAATAAGAGGAAGACCACTTATATATATCTTATAACATTTTGATAAATAGTAATATAAAATTAAAAAAGTCTATGGTATGGGGGATACAGCTTCCATGATTTATATTATAAAGGTTTATATTCATTACCATGGCAAATTAATTTGACCGCCACTAAGATATGCATACAATATCTAAATTTATAATGTGTGCAATTTATATTTTAATGATGCATACCTTTAAAGAAAACATAAAATGACGAAACGTTGCAACTAAAATAATTCTTATTTCTACTTTATAATTATTGGTTAATATTTCAATTTAATGAAATAATTCACGAATTTAGATAATTATACAACATTTATAAATAAACCTTTCTTAGTTATTTTGATCTTATTTACCTTATATAATTTAATTATTACTTAAATCTTGTGATTTTTGTTGTTGATGATTAATGCGTTAGGTAGGTTTATTCAACGTTCATTTAGTGTATTTTTAAATACCATATAAATTAAGAGTTATAACATTTAAAACAATGTTATATTTTCAATGAAATAAATATAAAAAATAGTACACACAAAATTTAAAAACAAAGCTTTACTAAATTTATAATGGTTTAAGTATCGGTGTGAAATTTTTGAAATCATTTTCTTCGTCGTATTTTCGTTTTTTTGTTTCATTCCATGGTTGAACTTTAGCAGATCCTAATTCTATGAAAACTACATTTGTAATCACTAATATTGCAGCTGATAACCAGAAAACACTACGCCATTCTTCCAGTGAACTCTAAATGTAATTTTACAAGTTAATTGTTTGTAATTATAACACTATTTTTACATATTTTTACTAACATTAGGAACCATTAAACCAACAATGTAAGGAGCCATTGTACCAGATAAACATCCAATGGTGCCAACAATCGCTAATAAGGTACCAGCAAAATTTGGACTGAGATCTAAAGCGTTGACTTTTAAACTTGGCACGAAAGTTCCCATCAACCCCATACCTAGGGTAAAACTAAATACTGCCCACATTTTATCACATCCTGAGTATGATGCTAATACAATACCAACTGCTGGTCCTACACTAGCTGAAAATAGACAAACTCATTTTTTAATTCTTATAAATAATTTTCGTGTTTACGGTCATACTTTCTATTTTTATGGTTTTCTAATATTTACCTATGGTTACAAATATTTTTCGAATTAATGTTATTGAGTACCGTTTAGATGCTATAAGAGAATCAACCATAAATCCAGATCCAATAGCTACTAACCACATTAATATGTAAGGTAATCCTGATAGTAATCCATTCTATAAATGACTTAAAATTTTAATTTATGAAACAAATTAAAAATTATGTATCTTTTAACAATGGCGCAACTAGAAGCGGAACCTCCCCATCATTGAAATGTTTGAAATTTTAGTTATATAAGTTATTTCTTTAGTGATACAAACCAAAAAATTATTACTTAATATTCTATTTTTTACTCTTACAAATTTAACTAAAAAAATATAACGATAAAATAGTAATCTCCGCTTCCCAAATATTTATGGTTGCACCACTCAAGGTATGGTATTCAAATTTATAATTAAAACGTGGAATTATATGCATTTAAAAATTTGGTTTAAGTTACTATGAAGTATGTGTGACTTTGTCGTAGCACTATACAGTATCGATAACATATTTTTCGTATTATGGGAATTAACCCCTTAATCCCTCCAAAACTATAACATCAATAAAAACATATCAAGTTTTCAAGTAAATTAATTAAAAAATTATACCGACTAATTTTGTGTTTGAAATAACTTAATAAAATTTATTAATGTATTTCTATTTATAATAAATGTGTACATACTTGAGCTACTGAAAAACCTAAAACAGATTTCATGTACTTGGGTAAATCAGTAATCATTGCGAATAATCCCCAATCGTGTCCAATATGAATTATAATTAAACCCCAAACAGGTCTAGATTTGAATATTTCTTTCCAAGGAATCTCTAATTTTTCCTAAATCAAAATATTATTAATTAATGTATTTTTCTTTTTATATTTTACGTACCATATCTTCTGGATCATGAGTATGTATTGCTTCGCTAAGATAACGTTTTTCCTTTGACCCAATAAAGGGGTGATGATTCGGATGATTGTAGGCTATTAATAGCCAAAACATAAGCCAAAAAAATCCAAGGGATCCAAATATGTAGAATACACTAGTCCAAGTATCGAAGTAACGCATTAAAAACCCACCCATTTGCATGGATAATACGTTACCTACTTGAGCACCTAAGTATAATTAAAATGTGTTTATCATTAAAATAAAATTTATTTAGATTAAAAAAAATGTAGTATTGTAAACAAGAGGTGGAATTGATAGCTTTATATAAATCTAAATCTAAATAAGGATTTATAAATCATTACAAAAAAATACATTGTTTTATATTTCAATGTTGTAATGTAAGTACTTAAAATAATCATATCGTATAGGTTTGGTATAAACCAAAATAAATTATTTTTTATTATTTTACCTAGGACTTTCAAATATTCTTTGTAAAAAAAAAAAGTAATTCTTATAGGAAGTGTGCTAAAAAATATTAATTTCGAACAATTATATTACACTTAGAAAACGAATAAAATTAGTGATGACATAGATTGTGTGAGGTAAAATAATTAAGGACCTCTTTATATAAAGTGTTCAGTTAGCAAGAAAACGGGATTCTATAGTTTGTAATAATTGACTTCCTTATTTACTGAAAATCCTATTTATTTATATTGCCCAATACAAAATTCATCATAGTCACTAAATTTAAATATTATTTAACTCGAGAAAATATTAGAAATGCATACCTGCAAATACCAATGAGCCCAAACGTCCACGTTCTTCAATGGGTACCCAAGAGGCTAAAAGTCTGTTTAACGATGGATACAACGGTCCCTAAATAAATTAGAAAAACAAATTCATCCAAAATTTGAATCGTTATGTTAAATAAATAAGTAATGTTTAAGCTTTCCAAAAATGTTCTTTTTTTTTTAATTAAATGATTAATTTTTTTACCAAATATGAAAACAAAAGTTTATTGTATTAATGTATTTACCAAAACGTTTTACATTATTCATATTTAAAATATTAATTGTTTTAGTATAATAATTAAAACATGAGCTTTAAAAAATGATAATATTAAATTTACTCCAATAAACATTTATATTTTTAACTTATACATAAACATAACTTATATATCTTATATACTTATACCAATTTTTTAAATGATTAAATAGATTTTTCTTTTTAATATGCGTATATTAATATTATACTGTTTATAATTTAAAATAAGAGTTTATAAATAATCATGATACATTTCATACCACTAATTACTTCATACCTGAGCAAGCCCAATCAACAAGCGTAGGACCACTAAAGCGGTTGGGCCATATATTCTGGCTACATAAGGTGTTAACAAACTGCCTAAGCTACTGAACATTACACCCAATGCAACAGTGATTTTTCCTCCATATTTGTCCGCCCACATACCACCTGGTATTTGTGTAATAACATAACCCCAGAAAAAAGAAGCCAATATTAATCCTTGGGTTTTCTCATCCCAATCAAACTCTAAATCCTGCAAAAAAGAAAAGTATTTCTATTAATTGATTACTACATGAAATTTGTATCCTTAAAAATAATTTAAATGTATCCATTACTTGAATAAATTTAGGGTATAATATAGTATACCAATCTGGTTTCAATGGGATAAAATAATGTCAAATAATTGGGTCACACGAAATTAAAACAACAATTATTAACAATACGGGTGTTTAGATCACATAATGACCGAATATATTTCAAATGGCTTACTATGAGTCCTATACTTTAATATACATGTATAGTTCAATTTATGTATAATCTAATCTGCCACTGACAATAATTAACAGCAGGTTGATTTAAATATACAAATGGATTATAGCGCTTTTTCAAGTAATTTAAAAAGTCTTATATTACTCTAAATTATTAATAAACTTAATGTAGAAACAATTTCTGACACACAAAATTTTACTTTTTAACATAATTTATAAAAATGTTCCGAAAATACTCCGAGCTTCAATCATATATTAAAATAAAGCTTATTTTAAATACTAGAAGTTAAAAAAAAACTAATTTTCTTTATGCAAATGGCTGCAGCAGTTAAAAAAATATGCTACTTTTGTGTTTAATCTTTTGTTTATTAAAATACCTTACAAGGGTTTTTCATAGTAATGAGTCCACCAATTTTTATAAAATTTACATGAATCCAAATCACATTAAGTTTAAACTTATTTTGATTATTTTGACTACTCAAAGTTAAGAAAAAAAGCTACTTTGAATTTTTAACTTCAATGAATATCAAGGAAACCACCACTGTAGTCTCCTTTTATAAAAAGAAATCTTATTCATATTAAAATATTTTACTATAAGGTTTTATTTTGTGTCTGCCATTCTTTTTCTTAACCCACACTTGACCAAGTTTTTTTAACAAACCGTCAAATGATCAAAGCTTGTGTCTAGTATTACCCTCCTTAGTTTTGGAATAATCCACTAATTTCTTAAAATTAAACACTATCTATAGATTTGCATGAAGGCGTTTCTTATGATGGTTATTTTAATCATTGTCAGATATCATCTATATTTGTGCTAATTATGCCACTTTATTTTTAAAATTTGACAAAAAATTAATAGTTAATTGTCAGAGGATATTCGAATTTGATTAGTTTAAATAGTTTATCAGTTTCATAAACTATCAGTATTGATAATATCATAGTTAGAAAATACCATCATAAAACTAGTTACGTTGAACAAAGAATCATTGAAACTAAACTTCAGTTTTTACGCTTATAATGATAAAACTAAAGTAATTACCTAAAACATTTAATTTTACTCATTATTTAAATGCGTGTGACCAAAATGGAAATAATGACTTATATTATTTCTTGTATTAAAAACAACAACATAGCATACTTTGGGAACTCTTATGATTTACAGCTTAATATTTGTTGAAATTAGTATATATATAATGAGATTTAGAAATGAATTTCGCTTACAACTTGCATTCTACTGAATACTCAATTGTATACACAAATTTAAGAACAATGAGCCTTAAATTACTAATTTTAAACTAATGAAGAAAATCTAGTAGATAATATTCAAAGACTATTCAAATTTATTTATTTACTATTTAGAAAATTTTTGTTGAAGTTATATTGATTCCTAGTACTAATTTAATCAGTCAATACAAATAAAGCGCATCATAAAAAATATTAATTATATAATTTACAAAATGTAACTTTCCTTGTTGCTTTTATAATTTTACTTTTAGTTTTTCTTCAATCGCTTTTGTTTTATAAGTATAAGTTATCTTATAAACATCGAATAACTTAATATTAATTGGTAATTTTGCAAAATAGAAATAGTTTAATAATTATTAACGATTATAGTATTTATTTTACGAAAAAAATACCAAATATAAAAATGTATTGATTAGCAAATATGTTATAAGGTAGTTAAAGAATAGCAACTTCAAAAAAAAAACCTATCAGTGAAAGCATACATAAATTATCGAATTTCTGTATAACTTTGATTATTTAATTAAAAAAAAAAAATGATTAATCAACACAATTTAAAATACATTAAATAATTTTTATGTATAATAAGTTAAAATGTATTTATATTTCTTAAATATTATAGATCATTTAACACTCAACTTAACTAGTTATAAAATAAGTGTATTGACTTTCAAATCTATTAATTCTTTAAAGTTATAGTCCTAGAACCTGTTCACAATTACTTAAAAATTATCAATATAATATACATAGTAAGATTGTTATATTATAAAACACGTAAGGGAACAATTTAACTTTTAATTTGGTAGTATTATCCGGTATTATTTTCTAGTTTTAATTCGGTAAATGAAATTTTTAAATAATTAAAAAATTACTAGATTTCTTATAAATTGTGATTTGTTTAATTTTCATTAATCATTTAATAATTGAGTAATTGTTACTCAGAAAATATTATTATACTTTGGCTTTGTGCGTAAACACATTAACGATAATTTTTTGTTTTATAAATACATTACGTATTTGTAATCACTACCAATCTGTACTGACTAATTTTGCACGCTTATGTCTTAGAGTTATCGTCTTAACTACGCCTAGCATAGTTAAAGAATCACCCTGTATAGTTCTTAGAATTTTTTTTATGATTTATATACTTAATGATGGCAATATGTAATTTTGGACCTATAATTTTATAGAATAGATTTTTGAAATTGATGTTTTTATTTTATAAGAAAAGTTGAAGGTTAAATTATTTAAGGTTAAGGTAAACATTATGATGTGACCCTCATTGCGAACATTCAACATTTGTATATACTCGTCTTAATCAGTCTATTGGCGAAAATTGGGTACAGGCGGATGTAAGGACAGAGATTAGCTTATGCTTTGCAACAAAAATTCTGTATTTAGTTAATAAACTATAAATAATTTAATTTTTATCTTTACCATTCATTATGAATTTATAGTTTTAAACAGTAATTGTAAACATTAAATAGTAACTATCGAACTATTCGATAGTCATTCAAAAACTATTCTATAGTTTTATAAATATTTGATAATTAATGCTAAAAATAAACTATTCAGTTGCATAAAAATAATTCTAATGGTTTATCGATAGTTTAAAATAATCGAAAATGCCTATCACTAGTTTTCAACTATAATAATAATTCACTTCCATAAATCGACTAACCTGATTAAATGTCCTGAATACAAAAAAACAGTGAATATTACAATATACCGCACTTAGATCTTTGTAAATTGATTAATACTATAACTCTTATAGAACTGTAAGAACACAATACATTTTTATAATGTACAATTATTACACACAGTTACTATTTCCAAACATTTATAGTAAGAAAATTGTTTTATGCCTTTTCATTGTTGTTGGTATTCATAGAAGAGATAGATTTGGTCAAATCTATCAGAAGCGGAAGACATTGAGATTAACTGCAATTAAATTATACAATCTAAATGGATGATAAAAAAAGGTGAGCTATTCTCATTCCACAACCATCAATAAACCCGTTTAATAATTTTATTTTATAATTCAATAACATAATAATGTCACGTATAAGCAGAGGCCAAACTGTTGATAAAAACGCTCTAAAAGAAAATAACAATTACATAAATTTTATTGTTAGGTACATATGTCCTTAAAATATTTAACATTGATTCTTATTGGATCAGATAAAAGCTCACATCATCTATTACTATGTACATCTATGTATATAATTTGTGGCTACAGCTAGCCCAATACTCAATCAGTTAGTAAAATAAAGGGCATAATTGTAAATTATTTTTGAATTTTAATAAACTAAAATTTATACATATATACGTACACATTTAAATCGTTAATAAGATTTTATATACTACAAAGAATTAAAACATTTTATGTATACTGATGAAAATATTTCTTAATTAAAATGTCAGTATTTTATATAAAATTAATCTATTAACATTAATTTAGCCCAAATATAAAATGTGTGATTCATATCTATAGCTAGTATATCACTAACATACTTTTTTTAAAGAGAATGTTATTATATATGTTAATTTACAGAATATACTATGTATATATAGAATACTTTTTTTAGTCGAAGGGACTACTTGAAAAATTTGACGAACAATTATACTGTTATAATTTTATATAAATCCCTCTAAAATCTGTTTTAAGTCCATGTCTCACACAAACACTTTGATATTAAAATATTTTTATCAAAACACGTTCAATAAATGTTTTTAAAATACTTTATTATTTAAAAAATAAATGAATAATGTAAACGCGTTATAAAAAAGTAAAAATTTTCAGTTATGCGTTTCTCCCATACATTACTAATCAAACCTGTAAATGTATTCTATAATAATTTTGTACACCCACAGAAATGATTAATTTTTAACAATAAAATGTATTTATTTTTAATGTGATAAATACCTTTTCAATTGAAACAGACAAGTTGCCACTTTTTTGTATTTCTGACTTGCATATTTGGGAACTGTTTTTCAGTGAGTGTTGATGATGTCCATCAGCCATCTCCGTAATAGCTAAACTTAGACAAAACCGCTGTACATAGCTGATCGCCAATGCTACAAAACCTAGTATACTTATCAAATACCTCTGCTGCCAAAAGCTACATTTTTCTTAGAAAAAAAAAAATATTGATTATTTTTTTAGTACAATAAATTTAAAAAAATTCTATTTATAATGTGCTCTAGTTTTTAGTCATTATTTTTTACTACTAACATTCGAATGAATTTTTATCAGGATTTTATTTCAGTAATAATCATTACACCCCTTGTTTAGTTGAAATACTACTGTGGAATAACGAAAATATAAAATATATTTTCTTATAATTAGTACAATTCTTATTGTAAATCTAATCCAACATTTCTATTGAAATTCAACTTTTTCTAAACCTTATACAGCTCATCTTTTCTCGGATATAAAATACATAATGCCTTCAATAATTTTTGAAATCTGTATTATAATAAAAAATAGCGTCTCGTATATTTTTGATTGTTTTAGTTTTCTAAGATACTCACACTTAGTAAACGTAAATGTTGAGAGCTGAGATGACCCTTGATGTCCATATTAGCCCTCAGTCATATAAAAATTAACTTAGATAATAATATTTTAAATAACACAAGGAAAAAGACAGTTGTAATTTACCTGAAATACTACATTGGAAGTATTTGAATATATGTCATAATTATGACACATATTCAGTTGATTTCAGAAGGTTATCAAGAAATATTTATAATTTTCAGATGGTAAAAAAAAATATTTTTTTTTTCGACAAATTAGTGTGGTACAAAAATGTTAAAAATACCTGGACCTTATGTTATTTACCTATTACTCTAAAGATAGTAGTTTCTTAGGTACCTGAAAAAAGCCTAGAAAATAATGGTATGAATGGTGTTGACCCGGAGAAATGTAGTTAATACGTATTATAAATATTTTGCATTGTTATCACCACAAATATATATTTGTATATATGTCAATTATTATTATTTCTTTTTATATAGTTTACATGATTTCTATTTAGATATAGAAAATACAATTGACAAAAGTAAATAAAGGTTTTAAAATCTATCAAACATATTTTTTAGTTGTAATAAAAGTATCTAAATCGACTTCGGTAGAAATCGATAAATTATCTGCCTTAAGGCGGATTACGTTATCGTAAAAGTAATAAAATATATTTGCATTTATCTCTAAATAATAATAATATGCAATTTTACAATTAATTACACGAATTGAATGGTATTACTTCATGGTCAATATTGTTATTGTACAATTATTGACTTATTTGTAATAAAGCAATGTTAAGTTTATTATTTTCAGAATGATATTTAAAAATCAAATTTTTAATGTTCAAATGCTTATTTTTCATAGCGTTATCGAAAACGATGAATCCTCTAAGTGAAGTACGAATAAACATTACAATGTTCCCTACTATGTTAGTGTTCATATTTTTTTAATTATCGTACTATTATAGTCATTCTGCCATCAAATTATAACAAAATTAATGAATTATCTTTGGAATAAAATAAACAAAAAAAGTGTCTTTTTCTCTAGTATAAATTTATTTTTACTGCATTTCTTAGATTTAAATTGGCTTATAATAATAAATGGGCTATCTCAGTGTATGGTTCAATCAGCTAGAGTACCAATTTATCGGCCCCAGATTCACTAAAAATTAGATTGGGACAAATAACCAAGTTGCCCAAAACTAACAGCCCTGGTGCGTCCTCGTATAGTAAAAATTACATGACAATCGGACAGATTGGTTTGAAAATATAATAAAAAAAACATTGCAAATTTCTATAATTTTTCACAGTATCTTAGTTAATATTATTTCGATAATTTTAGCAGTTTAAACTTCTTATATTTTACTATGATTTTACTGAAGTTTTAGTATGTCCGATAGAATTTATAATAACTATTTCTCGAATACTTATTATATTAGTTCCTTGAAACTTCACTTATTATGTATACATAGGTATACACAATATAAATACTGAAAAATTTAGAATTTTATACAAAATTAAAATACACGAACTCTAATATTTTAGCAAAAAACCACTATGTAACAAATATTGACAAATAACAAACAATTTATAATAACCAATAACATAATGGATGCACAATTAATATAATGATAACTAAATCTACCAAAGAGAAAAATAAAATTTTGGTTTAATGATCAGTTATACTTTAAGTCCACACTGATTATTGTATTTAATTTTCATATCTATGTATGTCAAACGACTTAAATATTGAAAAATTTTCGATTAGTTTTGATACAAAGGTTAAAATAATATAGACAAGTTAAATATTACAGCAGTGTTACTATTTCGATATAAACATATTAAACTTAAATACTTCATAAACTTATTAGAAAAATTTACCTTTGTTCGAGGGCATTCTCGAGTGTTCTAGTAGACCTGAACAAAAAGCGAATTTTTGAAAACGGTTTCAACGAATTTTTGCATATGTAAAATTCACATAAATAAAATAAAATAAATCTCCTTTGCAATATAATAATATCAATATTCTGTATGAAAGAAAATAAATTTGTTTATATTCAGTGGATGCAACAGGTATCTAACGTCTATTACTGTCGGTAGAGAATAAAATTGTAACATCGGTCGCGAAAACAGTAGAGGCACACGACCGAACTAATATGTGCATGGCAGTTACCAATCGTACACAGTCGGATTACAGTAGAGTACACATGCACTGTATACCACAAAGATCTTCACTGTTGATCCGACTGATCGATTCTTTATTAATCACACCCATAAAAATGTATTTTATGACACTACTACAATAAAAATTGCTTGTGTATCTAATTGTAGAACTTCGAATAAAAGTTTTCATATTAAATTTGAAAATGTTAAATATAATATTACAACATAATTGATGAATAGTATAACCTATAATTTTTTTTTTCAACTCAGTTATTTGTACGATGAATGGAGATTTTAGTTAACTAAAAGTAATTCTAGATTGTCATTTTCAAAAACAAAGTATTTTACTAGGTCACGTTAAAAACCTTTGGATTATGTTTAGATTAAATCACAAAGTATTAATAGGTATAGGAGAAGGATATTAAATCTATTAAATGGTCATAGAATAATGAAGTAAACACCTTCTGGATATACAACCCGACGATACCTTTCAGGAAAACTTAAAAATTTATAAAATTATTATTAAGAGGAGGTAATTGGAAAAACAAATAAAATTTTTATTGAAGAAAATCCTTATTTACGAACAACTATCATAATCTAATGACATAAGTCGTAACGAAATTTCTCTATCTTTATTAGAAGTATATTAAAAATTGATATTAAAATTATTAATAGTGTATATGAATTTTTCATATTGTCTTAAATAAATAATTCAGCATATAACTAATATATTTAATATTAAAAAACATAACTTGTGTATTAGACTGACCAAAAAAAAATGTTTGTTTTTCTAAAAATTCAATTGTACACACCAAAACAAGGTGATAACCGTCCAAATTCGATCTTTTTTTTATCAATGCTAAAAGATAACTAAAGTACGCTTTTCTCCCCATTTGAATAACATGTGAAAGTGGGATTTTTGTACAAAATGTTCGATTTTTTCGTAAAAGTTTTTTTTTTTCAATATTTTTGCAATAAAATACACACCTGAAACATTTAATTACATTGATATTTATCTATTTTTCGGCTTGTTACAATATTACTATAAAAAAAATGCTAAAATGTATAAAATCGAAACTGGTGAACTAAAACCTAAATATTTTAGGAATTTGGTTCCAAAAAAATGTCAGCTTTTCGAATTTGCATATATATATATATATTGGAAAATTTACGGTTTTATACAAAATTCCAATTTTCCATATTATTTAAATAAAAAAAAAAATTCACTTTAGTGACCACTTAACATTGATAAAAAAAACTTAAATTTGAACGATTATATTCTTTTGGAGTACACAATTAATTATTGGTAAACAAAAAAAATTTTTTTTTTGTTAGCTTTATGTGTATTTTATTAGACAAATTAATGAAAATTAAAATCGTTATAATATATGTAATGGTTACAAACGTAAAAAGTAAAAATATTAAGAGTTATTGGTATTAAGTTCTTGTCTAAAAATTCTGTATTAATGTTTCAGAGAAATTATGTAATGATATAAAAGTCCACACTTTAATTAACTGTTATGATTAAATGATTTTCAAAACTAATAATATTAAAATTTAAAATTTAAACTCAAATAGCGAGAAAATAGTCAATCAAATATTTAGGCAAACTAATTAGATGATTAGGCAAATTATTTTTAATACTAGTCGTATTATTTTCATTTTCCTTGGCAGTTATATTTTTGGAATCATTACTCTCTTCACTTTTATATTTTAAACCATATTCTAAATCGTGATAGATGTCACTCTCATTACTGAAGACATCAAGAGCATCCACACCAACTAATTTGTTATGGTATAAGTTTTCATTTCCAACGCGATTTACATTATTCAATTTGTAAAGTGAGTTATACATATTTTCATCACACAAGTATTCTAAAAAATACAATTTAATAATTACTTGATAAGTTAATTAATAACTTTATACTTAAGCTTTTAATATGAAAGTTATTATTAGATTCGATGCTATTAGTTGTTATTATTTTTTTTGGGTATCCGTATATTAAATTGAAAAACTCCTACTAGACCGATTTTACTCAACAACATGTCAAAAGATTACAAATTGTATTTAGTTAAGACTTCAGGTGTTGCCATAAATTTAAAAAAAAATTCTCTCAATCCCAATATTGAAGGAAAATTTATCAAAAAAATTACAAATGTTATAAAACAGTCAATGTTGACAATTTTATATTCTATTTTGTATTAAAAAAATATATTTGAAAACTAAACAGATATTTACGAAATTTTGTCTATTTTTAAATATATAATCATTAATCAGGGAACTGAGGGGGTATAAAAATCATAACAAAATTTTTTTTTTTATTTATAATGTTCTAAAAAATTGACATTTTAAATCCTTCATCAAATTAAAACCATTAATTGTCTTTAAGATGGATATACAGGGTGTTCAGTAAGTCAGGAAACAGGTTTCTATTGTTCTCATTGTTACAAACAACGAGAACAATAGAAACCCGTTTCCTGACTTACTGAACACCCTGTATAATAACATCCCAAGTATATATTTTTAGAAGTCATTGAAAGCCTATAATTTTGGTAGAAATGGCCGATTTTGTAGTTTTTTGCTTTGTAATGGAATACTCTCTTCATTCTAAATTATATCAAATTAAAGCTTGTTTAATGTAACATTTAAATAAAAATGAAGAACGAACCAAAGTAACTTGTCCTTTATGAGTAAACAATATTTTAAGTGAGTAACTCTACTTTACTACATCTCTATTGTACTTAATTTTTAAAAATTAATAATTTATGAATAAAATTTAACGTGATACATGACATTAACATACCAATAATATTTTGATTTAATCCTTGATCAGTACTTTCTGGAGTTCCTGGTTTGAATACTATGGTGGCTTTTGTTACAATGCTATGAGAATTTTTATAATTTTCTAAATCTTTTAAGTACCATGTTACAAGCCCTACTTCTTGTACTATTGCGTTGTATATTTTTTTGAAATTCATTATAGTAATTTTTACATGATCGAGCTTTCCATATGAAAAATCCACAATATTATTTTGCACTGAATATAATAATTTTGTAATTTCAGACGGATATTGATTATCAAGTAGTTTGTTACTTTTTTTAAACTCATTAATCATTTCCTGCAATAGATCACAGATTTTTCTTAAAAATGTATATACATTTATTCCGTATAAATGTAAACGAATAAAATGTTCAAAACTATCTATGACCGTTTCACCTAAAGTAACCATTTTATTATAAGTTAATTGAGTTATATCTTTATTTCTGGTTATATTCCTAACAACTGTTGTGTAAATCTGAATTAGCCGCCCTATCGGATAAAATAATGCGACCATAATTGTTGTCTGGAATGCATGCACTTCTGAAATATTTAAATTATACTTCATAAATCGAAATAAATCTGATACTCTCAGAGGAGTTTTATCAGGACATCTTATTTTAAGAGGTACAAAACGAAGAACATCTAAACCATCTACAGGCCAACCGCTTTCTGTTTTTAAGTATTGCCTAGCTTGTGATCCATAAAATACGTTTAACTCGTTACCTTTATACTGGTGCGATAATAAATCATAAAACAACAAATTTTGCGGAAGATAATCAAAATAATTTTTTTTTTTGTACGCCAATCTCAATTGTTCAAATATATAATTTTTATCATGTTTTTCCTGTTCAATTCTTTTTATAATTCGGCCTGTTAGTTGAGCAGATATTTTTGGTAAGTGAGTTATATTATACTCTCTTTGATGGTAAAATTCAAGATAGTTAAAGAATTCATTATTGTAAATTGCTTTAGAACAGTTAAAATGTATTGAATGCTCCAATTGTCTAACCATTGCATGATGAAGATTCATAAATCCTTTTAATAAATTATGATAATTATCAACTGTATTTAATTTGCCATCATAATTTCTGGCAACCATTTCTACAGATCCTGAAACATTATTTAAGTATAAATTTACCGACATCAAATCGGATGTTTTTAAAATGTGTATATCAATGAGTTGCAATGTGTCAATCATAATTAAAACAATTTCACCATGAGTTTGAATTGCCTTTCCATAGATATTAAAATCTTCTCTGAAATTTGGTTTTGTATTGCTTAGTTGTCCAAGTTTAAGTAAGTAATGTTCATAATATCGAAAGTAATTTAACAAGTATTTAGAATAATGGCAATGAATGTCTTTACGATCAAAAGCCCATAGACAATTTGCAAACAGCAATATTATAAGTTTATACAAATACATTTTAATTTTTAATAACACTAACGTGGAGTTATACAAAAACTTACTACAATCTGATAGTTTTAATAAAAAGATATTTAAAAATATTTTCTGTTGCTTGTATATGAAATTAACTTGATAAATTTGTTTTTTTCAAGGTACAGGTGTACATTATACTGACTATGTTTTACATTTTATAATAGTGTATATTTATAATACATACTCCACCCGTGCTACATACCTATTCCATATATTAAAATTCATGTAAATCAATAAGTACTCGCCCTAAAATTATTATTGACCAATTAAAATTTTTTCTATGAAAAGTTTTAATAAAACTATTTTAAAATTACAAAAAAATTTTACATTTTTTTCATCATTAAAAACAAATAGTAAAAAAATTAGTTTAGCATAGTCTAAGAAAGCCTAGGTTAATTTCAAAAATATTAACAGTGAATTAATAATTGTATTTAAAGTTATAAGAGTTGTCAATTATATTTGTCTTATTCTAGTAATATATACAGTAGTATATTGCATTGTAAGGACGTGGTGTGGCGCAGTGAACACATTAGCTATTAGTAACCTCTTAAGTTTAGGTGATGTAAACTTCGGATGGGTGATCATATATAATTTTTACAACGCCAAAAAAGACTACGACCCAAGTGCAGAAGGTAATGCAAAACCACTGAAATTATTTTATACATCAGAAAAAATTTTAATTTTAATTTAGTTGATGTCATTTTTTGGGCTATTGATAAATTATACACATTTTAGTTTATTTTAGAAGATTATTTTATTTATAAATTTTTTTTTTATTTAATATATAGAATATAAATTAAACAGTACAGAAATGACCGAATTTTTATCAATTAAATCACATACCTAAAATAATAATGTTGTAAAAAATTATTTTTTTCATTGCTCTATATAATGATAAATAATGAACAAAATGTGAAAGAATTTAGATCACTCTGTATTTTTACAAACTATACCACCTATCCTAATAGTTGAACCCGTTACTAATATTATCTTGGAAGTATGTAATCATAAAACTGTAAATATATGACTAATAAATAAATTTCATATTAAATATATTAAAATAAATAAACGACTATAATTGTAATTTTGATATTTTATAATTAAAGTTTTTCATTTATTTTATATCTATTGCGATTTATCAAAGTAAAATTGAAGGTCATTTTTATATTATTTGAACAGCCGAAAATATATTTCATATACAAAATTTAAAAACTTCTTGTAAGAGTTCTATTATTATCGTAACTTCTAGCAATCGTGTATTTTAATTTTTTTTTTAAAGGTCCTGGGGTACCTTCGTCAGCTTTAAATTTATTTCAAAAAAAAATAATAAGCTGAATACGAAATTTTATGTTACACATTTTTGCAAATTTCCAAGTTAAATTTTGTTTACTTTGTGTTTTTTAACATTATATTAGGACATTAATAGAGAAAAAATGTTGTGAAGTAAAACGTAACATTATTTTTTAGTTTCGATGCGAAGCTGAGAAGGTATTAATTTTACTATGATGTGGTTTTTATTGTCTGTTACCACTTTTTCTCAGCTCTCACCGAACCGTTTTCTTTCAACGATACGTCAAAAGGTCACAAATCGTATCTATTCGAAGACATTACCCTCAAAAATTTTAAAAATTTCTCTCGTTTCCTGTAAATGGGGGAAATCTCCAAAAAAATTACAAATTTAAAAATCGCTAATTTTGGACATTTTTTATTTAAAACTTCCATAACTTTATCAAAAATAACCAAATCAATATAATTTTTTTCTATAGATGCATGATGTCTTTACTTATCATTTGGTATATATTTTTTTATAAATCTGACCCTTTATCTGCCCACAAGGGAACAACTTTTTCACAATAAATTAACTTTTTCAGCATAACTTTTGAAAGTGTTCCGGAAATACTAATACTTTTATATGTAACTTAAATTAAAGCTAATGTATAAACTTTATTATGAAAAAAAAAAAAAAATTCGGACTTTATTTTGTCTTATTGGTGAAAATGGCTACCGTATACTATTTTTGTGTTAAAATTCTCGATTTTATTTTTTACAATTTTAACTTTATATTTCTATAACTTTTCAAAAAATGTATAGATCAATACAATTTTTTATGAGAAATAATAATAATTCTATTACAAAGGCAACTGTGTATACTACGATCGAGACTTGGTCGTTGCCCTTAATACTTAATAACAAATTTTATGTCTTTTAAAAAAACTATTCAAATTCGAATATCCTCTGACAATTAACTATTAATTTTTTGTCAAATTTTAAAAATAAAGTGGCATAGTTAGCACAAATATAGATGATATCTGACAATGATTAAAATAACTATCATAAGAAACACTTTCATGCAAATCTATAGATAGTGTATAATTTTAAGAAATTGGTGGATTATTCCAAAACTAAGGAGGGTAATACTAGACACAAGCTGTGATCATTTGACAGTTTGTTTAAAAAACTTGGTCAAGTGTGGGTTAAGAAAAAGAATGGCAGACACAAAATAAAACCTTATAGTAAAATATTTTAATATGAATAAAAATATTCTTTTTATAAAGGGAGACTACAAAAATACCTATGGTTTCAATATAAAAAAAATTATTTTGATTCGTTCATTTTTTAAAAAGTTATGGTACTTTTAAGAAAAAATATTTTTGGTGATTTCTCCCATTTATAGGGAACGAAGGAATTTTATTTAACTTTTAAGGTTAATGCCTTCGACTAGATACGATTTGTGATCTTTTGACGTATCGTTGAAAGAAATCGGTTCGGTGAGAGCTGATAAAAAGTGGTAACAGACACAAAAAAAAAACACATCATAGTAAAATTAATACCTGAGCTTTGTATCAAAGCTAAAAAATTATATATATTTTATTTTAATAAAAAAATGAAGTTTTCTTAAAATTTTAATTTATTGCAAAAATATTCATGAAATAAAAAGTTAACATTAGCTTTTATTTTGAATATTTTTGTAGCATAGTAATGTGCTAAAAATAATATTTTTAAATGTTTAATAAAGTACTTAAAAAACACTCATTACTATAAATTATGAGAACTTTTTATAAAATAGTATCTTGACTAAGTTTGAGTTGAAAAGTTAAAAAAGTACAATAATTTAATATTTACATTCAATCTACGTAAAATTAAATTTTTATTTTTTTATTCGATAAAGTACAATTTATATGTATGAGTTGATTAAGTTGTATTTGAATTTATGTGCAGCATAATGATTATTTTGGTAAATCGTGACAAACAAAATATTTTTTTTATTCTTATAGAATCACGATATTAAAAAAATATACAAGGCTAAAATATATTTATAGCTCATAATTTTGTTTAAGGATTTTCATTACACTTGGTACTTTCGATAACTAACCATTTTTATATTATCTTTATAATTATCTACTTTTGAAATGAAGTAGACAAATGAAATATTGTTACTGTTAATTCGATTACAACGAACGATTTGCGAAAATAAAAGAAAGAAAATAGAAAATGTAGAACCATATTAATGCCAAAAACAACAAGATTAAAAAATGTTTTTAATTTTAATTATATGTTTTTTGGCGTTTCCGTGTAATAATAAATTATGTCAACATATAATTTTACCATAGGAATATTTAAATCTATTTGAGGAAGACGAAGCTTCTTTCTTAGATGCTACTTAAAAATTGTTATTTAAATAGACACGCTAGCCGTTCCTACACACGGTCACACAGAATATTGTTAGATTCACAAAAAACTCTTGTTAATTTTTATACCTTCTTCTATTGCTCATAAATGGAGTCATACTCTTGTACTGGGGGCCAATCCATCCAAAAGTGATATTAGCACCCCAAAATTAATAAAATTATACTAATGTTATAGTTTTTAGGGAAAACCCATTAGCCTTTAATTCCATAATAAGGTCTAATAAGCCATAGCCAATAGAGATATACGTAACCCATCGTAGTATGATTAAGAAAATTAACACTTTTTGTTACAATAAGTTATATTGTTATAACATAATTAATAATATATTAAATCTTTATATTAAATTATCATAAAATTTTGTTTTGCTATGGAATTAATATCAAAATAATGCGCGTACAACGGTAAATTATATTTTTTAGGTTCGTTGCACATAATTAAAGTGTTTATTTTTGGGGGCACCATAAAAAATTGTATTACAAATAAAACACAGAATGCATACAGTATAGTTTAAATAACGATAGTCATCCACTATTTTATTATTTAGGATTCCTTTCGTAGGAGTAAAATAGCCGATAATGTCAACATTTTAAAATTAATTTTGTATAAATATTTATATTTTGAATATCATTCTTGATGTTCTTGACAACACACTGTAGTACTTCACTTTATTAAAAAATTTTTTCCTTCAGAAAATTTTTAAATGACTTTTTTGGCAATTTTTTACCTACAATATTGGTTAAGTACTTCCAATGGGAGAGACATAGCCTTTATAGCCCCCTCGTATACACCACAGGTATGGCATAATAACGTTCAGTGTTACTAGATAGATTTTGGCTTCGCTGGAAAATATTGAAAGATTAGATACGCGGTAGGAACACCACGTAAAAAAAATAAATTTTGTTACTAAATTTCATATTTTAATTCAAGAGATAACCAGTAACATGCTCTCAGACAATAAATTTTTTTTTACATTCATATTTCCTTTTTACTTTTTCGTTTTTTACATTCAATTAAAATAGGTAAACTTATAGGATAGCTAGTTACATTTTGATCTTTTGACGTATCGTTGAGGAAAATATTTCTAGCAGAGAAATCGTGTCTACTGACACGCAAACATACAAAAAAAAAACAGCAGAGTAAAACCAATAGCTTCTCAGCTACGCATCGATGCTAAAATCAAATAACGATTGTACTAAATAGCCAATTCGAATGAGTAAATATTGTTTGAGCTTACAAGCCGTCTTATCAAAACATAATAGATAAACAATGAGTTCAAATATCATTAATTTGGTCTAAATGAAATAAAACCTTTTAAACGAATTTCGTGTTAAAAGTTATTAACTAACCTCCAAAGTGGATAAATCCTTATCAATGACATTACTCCTCGCCCAGTTTTTAGAAAGAAATATATATTTTGTAAGAATGCAACTTTTTAATTAAAAAGTAAAATAATTTCTAGACACCCATTACACAGTATTAGTGTAAATATATAGATAGGGACGTATTAGGACTAGTGCTATCAATATCTTTTAAAGTCAATATATACAAAATAAGCTCTAAAGCAAC